AATGTGATTCAGATCTAGAAACCTCCTAATGAGATTAGGAGAAAGCTAATCTGATCTGCAGATAAGATAAGGGTTTATCCTTATCACCTGAAGAGAAGGCTGATCCAAATATGATTTGGATAAGCAGCTCCTAATGAGATTAGGAGCTGATCTTTTAGGTTAACAAAAGAAGAAGGGGGTGGCAACCTTTAGAAGACACACATCAGATTTTCTTCAGTGCTGAAATCACGAGAAGAGAGAATTCTGCACCCTGCGAATACTCTCTTGCTGCCTCCCTGTTCTTGCCGCCCTGTTTGCCAGTTCGATCTCCAGTTGTAGGAGAAGTCAAGATTCGATCTTCACATCAGTTCTTTGAGAAAGGATTGAAAGGAAGCTGTGCTCACGTACCATCTTGCTGTTTCTTGCGAATGACAAAGTTCTTGGAGAAGAACACTGCTGATTCTGCTCCATCCTGCACTGCGCCATCTTCAGTGGGAGCAGTCTTTGGATCCTTCCTTGGGCGTGAACACCTTCGTTGGGGGATATTATTTMTYCGTRKYAGGTATAATCCTCCCCTACTCCTTTTGGTTCAGATCTGGTTCAGTTTAAGGTTCAAGAATGTTCTTTGAAAATATGATTTTCTAAATAGGAATGCGATTCCCAGTTGAAGGGAGAGAAAAATTTTTGAAATTCACCCCTTATTCAGCAATCTTTGGGCGTCCATGGGATGGATCTCTCATCCCTTTAGATACAAGACCCAACATTTCTCCTTTATGTGTTTCTCACCACCACAATGGGTACACTTGAGGGACTTCTTGTCTTTTTATCTATTTCCCTTAGTGAAGACTAGGGCTGAATGTTCTCCAGATAGTCCAGTTGACTGTGTCTGGGAGTCAACTTGCATCTCCCTTCTCTTGACTTCTTCATTCCTCATCAGGTAATAGACATGGTGAAGCTCCAATAATTCATCTCTCCCTAGAATTTGTGACCTTATACCCTCATATACTGGGTCTAGGACAGCTAGAAACTTGAAGGCTCTGCTTTTCTCCTCAGGGGGAGAATAGTGAAGTGGGAGTAGCTCATCGGAAGTTCCTTTTCCAATCCCATTAAGTGAAGAAGGATGTAATGGGAAAGGATGTCAAAGGTGCAAGGATGTGAGAGTCTATCATAGGCGACGGAGACAGGTCGATTTTGGACATCAGTAGTGCAGGCCAGTCCCAGTCCCCTCTGCAGATTCAGATCTAAGTACCACAGTAGCTCCAATTCCTTCTACAGATACAGATCTAGATCCAGGTACCACAGATACTATAGATGAGAGACATCCAACCATGGAGCCTTCACCTTCATTCAATGACCTGGATCTCCCCATAGCATTTCGTAAAGGCAAACACCGTTGCACCACAACTCACTGCATTTCTCAGTTCCTATCCTATGATCATTTGTCTCCCTCCTACAAGTCTTTTCTTGCATCCATTGCTGATATTGCCATTCCCAGAACAATACAAGAAGCATTGGAAGTACCAGAATGGAAAAATGCGATAAAAGTAGAAATGGATGCCCTCATTAGAAACAATGCCTGGGAGATAGTTGATCAACCTAAAGGAAAGAAACCGGTTGGATGTAGATGGGTATTCACTGTGAAACATAATGCTGATGGTTCTGTTGAAAGGTATAAGGCCCGATTAGTTGCAAAAGGATTTACTCAGACATATGGTATTGATTACTTAGAAACTTTTGCACCAGTAGCAAAGATGACCACTATCAGAGTACTATTATCTCTTGCAGCTAGTTACTCTTGGCCATTATATCAAATGGATGTTAAAAACACCTTTCTCAATGGAGACTTGCAGGAAGAGGTTTATATGCAATCGCCTCCAAGATTTTATGCTACGGAGACAGGAAAGGTTTGTCGGTTGAACAAAGCTCTATATGGACTAAAACAGTCCCCCAAAGCATGGTTTGACAGATTCAGACGAGCCCTTGATAGGTTCAGATATAAGCAGCTTAGTCAGACCACACCTTGTTTATTAAGAGAGTGGGTTCTTCCATAACCTTGCTTGCCGTGTATGTGGACAATATTGTAGTAACCGGGAGTGATACTAGTGAGATTGAGTCTCTTAAGCAACTCTTTCATCAAGAGTTTGAGGTAAAAGATCTGGGGGAACTACGATACTTCTTGGGCATTGAGGTAGCTAGATCCAAGAATGGGATTTTTGTCTCTCAACAAAAGTATGTTCTTGATCTACTAGAAGAAACGGGAAAGTTGGGAGTTAAGCCTGCGGACACACCTATTGAACAGAACCACAGGATTAGTGCAGAGGGTGGAGAGCCTATTGAAGATAAAGCTATGTTTCAACGGTTAGTTGGAAAGCTTCTCTATCTTTGCTTCACATGACCTGACATCAGTTATGTAGTCAGTGTAGTTAGTTAGTATATGCACTCTCCCAGAACTACTCACCTCCTTGTGGTTGAAAGGATATTAGCATATTTGAAGAGGTCCCTAGGCAGAGGCATTTTGTTTAAGAAAAATAACCACATGAAGATAGAAGTCTACACAGATGCTGATTGGGCTAGGTGTGTTGATGACCCAAGATCTACCTCTGGATATTGTGCCTTTGTAGGAGGTAATCTGGTCTCCTGGAAGAATAAGAAACAAAGTGTTGTTTTTTGTTCAAGTGTTGAAGCTGAATATAGGTCCATGGCAAATGGTGTGGCTGAGATCCTATGGTTGAGATCATTATAGCCCATACTGTTGTAGTATGAATTGGGTATTGTTTATGAGAAACCCCTAATGTTGTACTATGAAAATCAGGCTGCCATCAATATAGCCCATAATCCAATATAGCACGACAGAACTAAGAATATTGAAGTGGACTGGCATTTTATCAGAGAAAGGGTTACATCTCAAGAAGTATGCCTTCCCTACATCACCTCCGACATGCAGCTTGTAGACTTACTCACCAAGGTTGTTTCAAGAAAGAAGTTAGAAGAAGATCTATGTAAGTTGGGAATGACAAATATCTACTACCCAACTTGAGGTGGAGTGTAGGAAACTGTGGACCCCACATTAAGTGTATTCGTGTGACACCTAGAGATGTACTTAGATTTAAATTGATTAGGATCAGCTTTCCTAGTAGGATTAGTTTTATTCTATCTTATCTAGGATTAGTTTTATTTTAATCTTATCTTTTATTGCCATGTAAGCATTAAAGTTCTTTTATAATTAGGAAACTATGTATATAAATTAAGGAGTGGGGCAGCTGTTTTAAATAAAAAAACACCCAACCACTCTCTTCTTTCTAATACCTCTCCACGAGTTCTCCCTCTTCATATCTCTTTTTTTTTTACTTCTCATCTCTCTTCCTTTCTTTATTTTTTGTTCAAAACCTAAGAGATATTTGTAGTCTTGTACAACTACTCTTTACAAACAAAAAAGCTTATATTGTCCTTCATCAGGTAATTGTGTGTCATTTACTTTTATCTGCTTACTACTGATTACCATCTGGTTGAATATATTTGCATGATATTGTTACTAATGGTGTTTTCTATGTACATGGATGGAGAATAGGATGCACAAACTATTATCAATCCTATGAATTGTCCTGTTTGACAAGGTCATAGGCATGTCAAACTTTGGTTACCATCCTTGGTTTTCTGTATAAAGGAATCAACTGATTCATTCTTCTTGCAGTTTTGGTTGTCTCAAGTCTCATATTGTAGGACTTATGCAAATATGTTGCCAGCATTTCACACTTGGAAAATGTCAACTTGTCAATTTCTATAAACATAGGTAGTTCTATAATTCTACAGATTTAGATGCTTCATTTTGTGATATTAGATTTATACTCAGGGTTTTCAATTTAGTGTTACCACCTTATAATTTCACTAAGAACTCTTGCACGATTTAGGCTTTCATCCCTTATTAATTTACCTACAAAATTGGGGCCTAAAGAAGAAATCTCAAATGTATGCCTTTACCCTCTTAATGTTCTCTTTCTCTAGTAGACCTCATTTTTTTCTGGTAAGGACCTCTAGTAGACCTTCATTAGGTATCTATTTCGTTTATCTAGTACATTCTCAATATTCAAAACATCCTCATCTTTTTCAGGTTTTGGATACATACGCCTGTAGAATTTAATCATAGATGAATTTTAAACTGACATAAGAAGGTGAAGGTCATGTTAGCAAAGTGAACACTGAACTCGATTGGAGAACTGTTTAGCTTTGATAATCCATTTTCATGGCTTTCATCCAGGTTGGGCTTTGGTGAACCATCACCCAAGACAAGTTGAAGAAACATAGAATATTCAGTGGTTACTTGTATGAGCAGTGGAATATTCGGAAGTTACCAAATCCTCTCTATGCTTCACCATTAATTGTATAGGCATCCTACCACATTACCTGTTCCTCAAATAACTTTTGGCCAAAGATATATACAGGTTCGTTGCTGAACCTCTAGGGCTAGCTTAGTAACAAAATTCTATTTTCATAACTAAGAGGTTATAATTTGTTGTTGTAATTCTTTACAGGGTTCCCATTCATCTTCATTTCTGGGGAAATTTGACTTTTATGCTGGTTTGGTGGTATCCTCTGGTTCAAAATATTGGTAGCAAAATGTTTTCCCATAGGCAATATTTGGTTTTGAAAGCAAAGAATCAGAAACACTGTTTTGGTTCATTTTCTGCTATTGTGGGCAATTTTGGATCACGATGAGAATATGGGGTTGGGTGCAGGAAAAATAAGGATCCCCAAAACAGAGCTCAATTCTAAGTAGCTAGCAACCAAATTACAATTCCATGTAATCTGATTCTATCTCATGCGCTTTTTAATTTATTTTAGCCATCTACATGTCGGGTTCTGGATGCAAATGTCTCAGGTTTTCATCTAGTGAGCATTGGAGTTGTCTAAGGACGAAGTACTTGGGAGTAGAGGCTGATTGTAGTCACAAGGAAATTTGGTTTTGGAATTTAGTTTGGAAAGAGTACAAAAACAAATATGTACAGTGCAAATACATACAAAATACAAGGTTTTGCACTCTACATAATTTTATTTGTATTCCTTCCAAACTGAGCCTTAGATCCTGTTTGGGCACTTCGATTTTTGGTTTATTTATTCCTATGTCTATGTGTGGGACTTTCTCATGGTTTTCTATGACCTTTATTTTCTTTTCATTTTTCTCTCTTTGCTTTGTAGAGTTTAGTTTTTTAGGCTCAGATGTGGTGTCCTTATTCCTCAGAACAAGGGAGTGATAGAGGAATTCAAACCTTTCGTTGAATTAATGACTTGATTATTATCTTGGCATTTATCCTTAAGATTTCTTTGGAATGGAACTGCACCTGAAGCTACATGAGAAACTCGATTCTAAGGAAATATCTTACATAACCTCAGTAGGACGAAGTGCTCCAATGCCAAATAAAGCAATCTTCTACATCTTGGATCTTTATTCAAATGAAAGGTATTGTTCCTTTATAAAATGCACCCGTAGATGGATATGACTTTTCTGCAGGTGAGAGATTAGGTGTAATAGAAACCGGATTCAGTCAATGCAAAGCCCGTTCAAACAATCATCATAGCCTTGGATTGGGAATATCTCCCCCATGAAAAAAACACAGAGGTACGGAGATGTCCCCGATGCAAGGCTGTAAAGGCTGTTCAAACGGACCTTGCACTGACTGAAGCCGATCTCGGTGTAATAGAGATCAAATTGTCTAAAATTCTACTTGTAATACTGGGTCAATTAAGATGCAGGTACACGGTATACCACATCAGCTTCATACATGCTGGGCCCGTATATCCATCCAGCTGATGTGGCATATCATGATTGACCGATCCAGTATGTACCAGGAGGGCAATACTGGTAATTTAAACTATTTAATTATGAAATTATGAAAAAAAACACTTAACATCCATTGTTTCCATATTATTAAGGGTTAATTACTTGTTTTCACTAAATTAATTAAGGGTAAAAGACTTAAACCACCCTTGAGATTTATGCTAAATACTAAAACTTCTCCACTTTTTAAATTGGACTAAGAAATGTTTTCAACCCATTGTTGACCGGCCGGTTGAACCACTGAAACTATCGTCAAAATTCTGCGTCTGGTTTGAGTAAAACCCGAAAAGGTCAAAAAACTATTGATTTGGTAAAAGACCATCTGACCTGGATGGTTGGACTGTTGACCTGTGCAGGTTGCATACTAACCGTGTATGCAAACGTTAGGAGGGCATAACTTTGCATTCTGATGTCCAATTAAGGTATTTTCTTTTTTCTTTTTTTATTTTGGGTAATTTTTTGAGATTTATGCGTCCCTTGGGGCCATAAGTGCCTTGTCCCGTTATTTCTTTTCCAAAAAAACCCTTTCTGGCCTCAAATTGCAATTTTTAATATTTTTTACAAATAAAAATTAAAACTGAACTAAAAAATAAATTAAATATAAAATATTTCATATATTACATGTAAAACACAATTATACATTATTTATTGATAAAATACATATTTATACATACTTACACACACACACACACATATATATATATATATATATATATGGCTGATGTGGCACAACCTAAACTGTCCGACCTAGGCGGTCGAACCAGTGACCTGTGACTCAGAGGCAAAAATGGTTCGGCCTCCAGCTTAGTTTTTAAAATACTAGGACAAAGGCCTCCCCTTATTATTGTTATGTTTAACAAGATCATCAAAAAGCCATTTTTGCCCTTACTAAGTTTTTAAATTTTCAAAATAGTGGAATCCAACAGTAGTGATTGTTGACTCTAGGAAAAAAAAAAACAAAGTGAATGATTGTCTATAGGTTTGCATGAAAAATCTGTTCCTAAAATATAATCTCTGCGTAGTTGTTTAAGGTGAAGCTTAAAAACAAAGGAAGAAGAGAAAGGAGGAAAAGAAGGGAGAAGAAGAAATGTTACGAAGGTTGTTGAAAGTACAAGTTTGCCCTTACTTGGGTGCCCAAATACAAAGAGGAAATGAAAAAGCCCAAAAAAAAGCTCTTTCATCAATTATTAAGTCCAATATCAATTATTATGGACAAAACCAAAATAGAATAAGTCATATGTTGACATCTCAATTATAATTTATGATATTTTTATAATGAAAATATCATCCAATTTAACCAAATTAGGACTTTCTATAAAAGAAAAACAATTGGAGTGGTAGAATTTGATAACATCAGGATAGCAATCTAACCACAATTTTGACAATCTTTTTAAAAGCCACATATTTAGTCTAAATATGTTAGCCTAAGTTACCACCCTACACAAAATGATTAATAATGAAATAAAGGTTTATGAAAAAGGATTTGTGAACATCAATTGTAAGACCCAAAAGAAGGTAACCATTGACGATGGCAATCTAATATACATACTAGTTACTATCAAAATCCAATAGAAAAAATGGACAAGACATGAAAAAAAAAGTCCAATCATTACAACATACCATAAGGATTAGAAGCTGGAACACCATGGATATCTGTCCACAGGGGACACCACTACATTTAGACAGAATGGACACCATTAAACAATTTCTTGATGCTACCTCCATTCTGCACTTCAATTGCAACCAACTTGGAGGATGCAACGGTCACATATTTTCCTCCTCTCTTTCCAACCTGTCATAGCCATCTTTGTCATTGCCTTCTTATTTATGTCAAACACCGTCATTCTGTTTTAAACACACAAAGTTGGTTCATAAAAATCCCTAAAGACAACAACATATTATTGTGTCTAAATCAAAGGAAAAAAATCAGATTTTAAGAAAAATAAAATATTCAGAACCTAGACCAATCAAACATGAGAGGATAATAAAAATAAAATTAGGAAAAAGAAAACAAATCAAGAACTAGATTGGAGTTTCATTTAAATATAGATGCTTTTAATAGATTTGACGATGTAAATTTTGGGAATGTAGAGTCGTAGCCAAGAGAGCAACCCTGCAGCAGCTCTTCACTCTCTTCTTTTTCTTTGAAGGTCTCTACTGTTTTTCATTTTCTTAGAAAAGGAACACTCTCACATGATGAGAAGAAAAAGAGACTAATTGTTGGGTATTATGTGTAAGTCATTTAATTAAATGGCATTTTCGTCAAAAAAAAAAAAAAACCTTGTCCACTCACTCTTTTTGCAATTTTTTTTCGAAAGATAACTGATCTTGCCAAATGATCAAATTTAATCATTTATGTGCAAAAAGCCCTATATAAATATATAATAAAAATACTAAAAATACATATAAAATAATATATTATATGTATAAATACAATGCATATACATTCATTTATAATATATAGATAATATAAAAAATAAATGAAAAATATATACAATATATATAATATACATGTAATCTATACTAATAAAAGAGCAAGTGACCCCATTTTCTGGACTTTTCATTAGACATTTTTACCCCTTATCTAAGCAAACATACAACGGGCATAAAAAAGGGTATATGTCCTTTACTTTCACTCCAAAAACTGCCCACTCATAACAGTTAAAAACTACCCACTGATAATTGTTCAAAAACTGTCCACTTATAACAGTTAAGAAACTGTTCACTTATAATTGTTCAAAAACTGTCAATGAATTGTAAATAGTTTTGTCTTGGAGATACTGTCACGTGCAAATGCATGTACATGTTACTAGTATATATAAATATATGTATACCGATTAGTTTGGTTAACTACTGGTTTTTTTATATTGGTTAACCAATACTTGTTATCAGCTACTGTCTTGCCTTCTTCCTCAAATCTCTCATACAACCCAAAGACACCACGGAAATGGTTCTACGTGTCATCAATCATCTCATTTTTTCATTTTCTCCAAATTTTCAATTTGATATTTATTATGTTTTGAGTTTGTATGCAGTATGCGCATTGCAAAGTGAGATACTATTGGAACCATTGGGCATTGGTTTTCAGCCAAAATAGATAAAGAATATAATGGGGTAGTATTGAAAATAAGAAAAAACTTAATGACAAAGATGGCCTAATCATATTATGTGGAGCCATTTTAAAAATAGAAAAGTAAGGACAGGTCCAATGCAGATTTCTGAATTCCACTACAGACCTATAAACATTCAAAATGAAAAACCCCCACTCTATACACCAATGAATTGGCATCAATTCCGAGCTGGCACCTACCCCAACTGTACTTTGGGCCTAAAAATTCTGACCCTGAGTTGAACCATCATTCTCCTTTTTAAAAAATTTGGATAAATTATTAAAACCTCCCTTGAAATTTGGTAATTGCAATCACCTTCCCTGAATTTTTTGACACAGACCCCATCTGTTAGAATCCTCTAAGTGGTGTGAAAATATCCAATATACCAATGAAATTATCATTGAGGCTAGTTTCTAAATACAAAACAATACATCTTTATAACAAAAAAAAAAAAATTAAGAATTCGAAGTTGCAAGACCTTGAGTGATTGATATGTAGGGAAAATTTGGGAAACAAATCAATTTCATAAAAGGGATTGGAAGTGTTCGGGCTAGCCATTCATATGAAAAGAAAATTTGGAAAATAAATATTTTAATAAAAATAACTGAATGGGTATTTTGGACATTTTCATGCTTTTTTAGAGATACTTGCAAATATGTCAGAAAATTCAGGGGAGGTGATTGCAATTACCGAACTTCAGATGAGATTTCAGCAACAGCCAGAAACTTCAGGGGGGTTTTAAAAATTTACCCTAGAAGACAAATCCAAAAATAGTTTTACAAACCACAGGATATATCTAAGTATTTTGAAGTTTGAACCACAAGATATATATATAAATAATTAACCATTTAACCCTATTATTAAATCCATAAAGAATCATTACCGTCCACACTAAAATGGCATGGATTTATCCACGCAGCGGTGGTGCAGATCTAACCACATTACGCTTTTGTACACCATGGTATATATATATATATATAAAGAAGCAGTATCAAATTTCAACAGATCATCCCCTATTTAACTTTTTTCCATATTTGAAAATGTCTATTTCAGCCTTTTTTTTTTTTTGAAAAAAGCCCGTAGGTTAATCAGGTGGTAAAGACCAAGTACAACGTTAATTACAAGAACAGGCCATGGCATGCATTTCCATTTGAGATTCATCCCACCCAAAGCCGCAGAAACTATTAACTACTGGCAACAATACTTGTTTTGTAGGATAAATTTCCATTTGAGATGTCCTGTTTGAGATTCACCCCATTTATCGTGGGTGGACGCAGAAAACTTGATTAAAGGACAACAATTATGTTTCAGCCTTAGATTCTGAGTCACAAGGCAAGGTTATACCTGTTACCAAATCCAAGTGAAAAATTCTATAATTTACAATTTCTGCAACAGAGAGCAAGATTAGACTCCTGGGCCGACTATAATGACTAGTTTTTGTTATTTTATTTGATCACCTATAGGCTATATCTTTAGTTCAAAGACCTTGGCCCAAGATGTTCAGTCCAGAGAGAAAAAGTATGAGGATATGATGATTTAGCATAAGATCACAAAATGGAACATTTATTTACACCCAATGCTGTGAAGAGTCTTCTACCAAAAGGCCAAAGCTGGGAGAATAATCCCATTGAAGGTAGTGCACGTGCAGTTTCATGGGTTACTTCTGCTTCTTCCTTAGTTGAGTTCGTTCCTTCATCACTTCTTTGGTTCTCATCTTCTGGGTGCTCTTGGGCTGTTGAATCACTTCCAGCTTCTGCAATCTCCCCTGGTTTTTTGTCAAACAGCCCTTTAAATTGCTTCCGGGCCTTCCTCTCAACTTCCTGTTGTAGAGGTAATATAGTCAATAGATAATTGCACTTTGTGTTGATTAAAACCTTGATTGGAAGAATTTATACTTCCCAGTATACCTGCTCCGTTTGCTTCAACTTAAGAAGAGCAGCTTTTGCATCAGGTTCTGAAGACTTGTCAATGCTTATCATCTAAGAGCAACAAGAAAAATATATATAATTCTCAGACCAGGATGACAGGCACGAGTGATGCTACTGTTAGATAATGGAAATGATAGTGTAAAAATACCTTCTCAAAATCTTCCCTTGCTTCCTTGAAATCTCCAGCTGACATGTAGGCCATACCACGACGATAGAGAGCTTTAACATGTACAGGGTTTGTATCTAATACCTGCACAATTGTTATGCTAATGAACGACTCTGATTCATTATCCTACCTTAAAAGGTTACTATATGAAAAAAAAGACATTAAAGATGACATAACAAGATGCATGCATCATGCCTTTGCCATATTACATAAAAATATGCATTAAAGAAGAAACATATGTAAGTCCAACTTCTTACTTTTTCCTACTGCATTATGCAGGGATTATCCACCAATATTTTTAGTCTGATATGCAAAATATAGTGCAGTACTAAAAAAAAAGCAGATTTCCATGGTGGCTTAACAACAATGAAAAGGTATTTCATATTTCCCATGGTGACTTTACAACAATTCTATTACGTAAATGCACTTCCAAGGCTGCCCATTTGGTGGCTCAGCAAGCTCTGAAACTGGAACTAGATACACAACAGATTGGACTTATGATGTATTAAGCTTCTTTGAGTGCAGCTCTAGAGAGATGCAAGTATGCAACTCATTAGTAATTACAGGACCAAGTACACTGAGGAATACCTCAAGCACTTGGTGGGCTTTCCTTCCATGTTTCTTCTACTATTATACATGTCAGGGTTGTCAAGGATGACTTTTCTTATGGGAGGTTACAAAACCAAAAAAACTTTGAGGCATGAGATTTAACTATTGTACCAAGCAAAGCACTACATACCTTCATTATAAAATACACACAATAGATAAAATTAACAAAGAACTAACATGAATAATCTATTGATTTACATTCTTCACTTTATTTTGGGCTAGGGTGATGAATGGTTTTCCACCTAGCTTCTTATGTATGCAATCCACATACACCAAAACATAGTAACAAAGATGCAAATAATTAATTTATCACAAAACTGTTAGTGTAATATATACGAGGCAAAGGGCCCAACCACCTCACAACCTACATGAGGCATTCTTTTAGGTGTATGAGGTAACCACTTTATGTACTTTGTCTGAAGCAAGAGGGGTTGACGAGCTATAGTTTCTTCTTGTTTCACGTTGCAGCCTAGGAAGGTGAGGTGCTTACCCCTAATGACAGTGATCTGTATTTTGGTTTCTCTAATCTTTGGATACTTAACTACCATAATTTATTAATTTTTTTGTTTTTGACAAATAAAGGAATGCATCACTCTTTTCCTAAGATTTGAAAAGACAATAAACACCATTTTTCATCAATAAAAAAATACTGTGAAAGATCAAAAAAGGGGGGCATTAGTACAATCAGCTGCATCCCAGTAGGGTACAAAAAAAATTGGGATTCAAGTTTTGAATATTTTTTAATAGCCAAGACTTGTATGCGAAAAAGATTACTGAGTAACAAGTATATTTGGATTAGTACAAAATTTCTGTCAACACAGTTTGAATAAGAGAGCCAAAAAACTGGATAGGGTGTGTTAGCTTGATCACACACCCAAGAGAAAAGCTTATATATGTTTTCTCTACAAAACTGAGGAAAGGACCATTGCGTCCCTCTCTAACAAGAAAGAATAAAGACTATACAGAAAAGTATGGTACATAAGATACAACATATAAAGGTGCTCCCAAGTCCCAAAAAGGAAAGAAAACACAAGAATGCAAATCAGTCTCTACACCCCCCCCCCCCCCCCACTTTCAAACTGATGCAGAGGAACAAGCATCAGTTTGTCAACTAGAAATTGGTGGAAACACATGTCATAGCTTTTGTGAAGAGATCAGCAAGTTGTAATGTAATAGATACATGGGATAGTGAGATATGTCTAGTAGTAAACTAATCTCTAATAAAGTGGTAGTCGACCTCTATATGTTTGGTTCTCATAAAAAACAGGATTAGAGGCAATCTTGATGGCACAACACTGTCTGTACAATTCAGAATTGGAGAGGACACTGGAAATCCAAGATCATCAAGAAGTGCCATAAGCCATATAATTTCAATACAGACAGAAGATGTAGCTCTATATTTAGCCTCAGTAGAAGATTTCGAGACAATCTATTGCTTCTTACATTTCTAAGATATGAGAGATTCTCCAAGGAAGACACACCAACCAGTCGTAGAGTGTGTAGTGTCTGGGCATCCTGCCCAATCAGCATCTGGATAATCTCATAGATTAAATAGATGAGGATGGAGGGAAAGAATAAGCCATGTGACAAAGTACCACAAAAATATGGGATAATATGGAGAACTACAGTCATGTGAGGTTTCCAAGGAGAAGAAACAAACAGACTGACCACTTGAACAACATAGGAAATATCTGATCACGTCATGGTGAGATAGACAAGACTACCGACAAGTTGTTAGTAAAGTGTGGCATTGGAAGGAATTTCCTCATCATTCTTAGAGAGCTTTAAATTTATCTAAAGAGGAGTATCTACATATTTGTCACCACTCAAATTAGTAGATTTCACAAGGTCTAGGGCATATTTGTGTTGGTTGACAAAATACCCACAAGATGAATGGGTAACTTTCAAACCCAATATATAGGGACATGTACAAGATCTTTCATCTTGAAGAACTAATTGAGAAGCTGTTTCAAAGAGGAAATACCATCACCATCATCTCTGGTGACAAGGATGTCATCTACATACAAGAGCAATAGATTAATTCATTCAGATCTTCTCAAAATAAATAAGGAATAGTCAACAGAGCTTTGGATGAATCCAACATCTGTGACCACTATATGAAATTTCTCAAATCATGCCCTAGGAGCTTGTTTGAGACCATAAAAGGACTTCTTGAGACAACATACCAAAGAAGAACCATCATAATATCCTGGAGGGGCCTTCATATAGATTGTTTCCTTAAGATCCCCATGTAAGAAAGCATTCTTGAGATCCATCTGATGGATGTCCCAATGTTGGATGCAAAAAGTAGACAAATTGTAGTCATCTTGCGAGAAAATGTCTCCTCATAATCAATGTTGTGTTTGTACAGTTGTGCCACCAAATGAGCCTTATATCTATTAAGGTTCCCATCATAATTAAGCTTCACAAAATACACCCATCTACTACGAGACAGCTAGTGGGACATGAACCATTTCCCATGTGTGATTATCAATAAGGGATTTGAGATTAGTATCCATAGCTTCCTTCTAGTGTGGAACAACCATAGCTTGGCAGTGCGATCTAGGAAAATTTGTTATGGACAAAACAACGGAAAAGGAGCTATGGTTTGAAGGACAACTATAGTGGTTAGGAGGGTGAGAAATATGAGTAGAATGACGTAAAGGAGAAGAAAATGATGGAGGATCAACAATAGGTGTAGGTATACTTACAAAGTCTAGATGATAGGAGGAACCGTTGTCTATAGATGGTGGATCTATGTCTAGTGAGGAATGGGGCAGAGCTATAGGTGTTGGAGTATGTGAATAAACCCTAGTTGATTCTAGGTCAAAGTAGAGAAGAAGAAAGAAGAAAGAAAAGAGAAAGAAGAAGAAGGAGAGAGTTCGACCAGTCTAGAGAGAATGTGAAAAATCTCTCTCCTAACCGACCCACTTGAATTTTATTCATAAAACTTAGAGTTACAAGAAAGACAATTTTGTCCCTCATAGAAGATGGGACACATAACTTAAACTCAGATACAATAGACCTTTCACATTCAAGAAGATACACCAGAATGACCAAAATACCCCTGACTCGAGCACTCTAACAGAGTAGATAGCCTATTCCTGAAGAAGACACACAACAATTTTGGAATAGAGGGAGTGGTATCCAAAGAACTTGAAGAGTCAAAAGAATGTAGCACCAAAATGGAAATAATAGCAAGCTTAACAATATGCACATAGAATGAGATGTTCTCAAGAAAAATAACATTACGAAACACATGAATCCAACAGGATTGATAGTCACAATAGAGAAAACTCTTATGGTCATGACTATATGTCTATATCCAACAAAAACACATGTGGCTGATTGGGGAATAAGTTTTGTTCGCTCATGGGGAGGAAGATGAATGAAGCACACACAACCAAACATGAAGCAAAGAAAGTTTGATGAGTGATGAAATAAGCACTGGAAGGGAGAGACATTGTTCAAGGCAGAAGAAGGAAGCAAATTGATAAGGTGCACAACAATGTTGGCCGCCTCCAACCCAAAGGAAGTAGGAGCATGTGAATCATGAAGCAGGGTCCTTACAATACTCAAAATGTATATGTTCTTGCACTTTGCCACTCTGTTTTGTTTTGAAGAACTCCAATACTAGTATTGTCCAATACTAGTATTGAACTAATTTTTTATCTTAGCCAAGAAAGATTTAATGGTGGGAAAAACATTAACTTATCTCTCAAGAAATATATTCAGGTGTATTGTGTATAATCATCAGTAAATATAACGAAGTATTTATATCAACATTGAAATTACAAGCGACAACCAAACATCACTATGTACCAATTTAAAAGGAATAGATACATGCTCAACAAAAGAAGGAAAAGGTAGAACATGAATTTTACTCATGCGACAAGAAATGCAAGCTTTATTAACATTAGTAGAAGAAATAACTTTAGAACAAATATCCAATTTGATGAATATTCCACAAATATCACATATTATTCCTATAGACAACTTCAGAACTAGGAGTAGTAGTAAGCAACAAGGTATGGATGAAGGCACTAGTGTCTTTTCAAATTCCAAGGCAAATAGCCAACTCAGCCTATGTCCCAACAACAAAATTGAAGTTTGTTGTAAGATGGAATAAATAAGGTTTTAGGAAGGTGAACGTGGTAATTAGTAAAACTAGACAAGGATAAATCATTACAGCCAACAATGTCTAATTTTTCACCATTAGCAGTAATAAAGTGTATATTCAAGGACTAAGGTTTAAAACACTAACCAGCATATACCCCTATCATATGGTTAGAGGAACTGAAATCAATGATCCACAAGTGATTGGGAGAGGAACAAAAATAGGATGACTCACCAGAGAGACCGATGGTTAAAACGTAGAGGAAATTGCTAAAGATACTAGCTGACACATTCTCTCTTCTATAAAAAACCCAAAACTCTTAGAAGCTGGGAAGAAGTGGCTCGGTCAGCTCCTATGT